GTTGCAGGGCCACCCGGTCCATGCCGTCGAATTCACCCCCCGTAGTCGAGGGAGCTTTGCCAACGCGGGCGACGGGAAGGACAGGTGGAACAGTAGCTCTAGTCAACGACACGGACAGCCCTCCGCGACGAAGACCCCGCGTGGATTCCGACGTCTCGCGCTCCAGCACTCTCGCCCCGCACCAGCAACAGTCAACCAGACCGAGTCCGAAGCGGTTCAAGTTCGGCGCCGACGATTCTTCTCCCTCTCATTCCGCCATGTCGACCAAAATGAAGGGGAAACTCCCCGAGGTCATTGACCTCACGCAGTCCAACTCGTACCGGCCGTACACGGGCGCCAAGAAGCTGGTGATCAAGAACCTGCGGCCCGCGGCCCGGAACGAGCAGCTAGAGCAGTACTACAAAAGGACTAACCAGGAGCTGGTTGATGCTCTGCAGGACATTTTCAACGGGGGCAGGCCGCGATTGCCCTTGGAGAGACTATATCGGGCTGTCGAGGATATCTGCAGGCGTGGCCAGGACCACGAGTTGGAGCTTTATGAGATACTGCGGCGAAAATGCGAGGAACACCTGGCCCATGGTGTCCTTCGATCGATCAAGTTCCGCGGCGGCAACACAGACGTCGACATGTTGCGAAGTGTCCTCCAGCATTGGCGGGTTTGGAACAGTCAAATCGTGAGTTGAGTCGGCGTTCCCCCGACTGACGCCTCGGAACTAACGAGCCTGTGAACAGATGACGATACGGTCTACCTTCAGCTATATGGATCGTACTTTCCTCCTTAAGGAGAAAAGCTACCCTTCCATCAACGACATGGCCATTTCTCAGTTCAAGAGAATGGTGTTTCCGTCTCGAGATGACCCCAATGGCCAGTCGCCCGGTGGCAGGGCACTGCGGGGCATATACGACCTGATCTCCTATGACCGACTCGGAGACGAGCGATTTGATGCTGCATTACTAAAGGATTCCATCATGATGCTTCACGTCTTCAACATCTACACCAAATACTTTGAATACCGGTTCATCGAAATGTCAGAGCACTACTTTGAAGATTTCGCAGAGGAGAGAAGCGCATCGAGTCTCAAGGAGTACATTTCGGCATGCGAAAGTCTCCTGAAGAGAGAGGACTACCGCTGCAACGAGTACAACCTGGACTCGACGACGAAGAAACAGTTGCTCGATGCGGCGCACGGCATATTGGTCAAGAATTATTCCGACAAGCTCCTCAATGTTGAGAGCCTTTCCAAGCTTCTCTCCGACTACGAGGTGGATTCGATGAAGGCGCTCTACGATTTGCTGCGGCTCTCGGGTATCCAGAAGAAACTGAAGGAACCTTGGAGCGCATACATCCGGAAAACAGGCGCAATCATCGTTGCCGACAAAGAACGAGGCGATGAGATGGTGCAAAGACTCCTCGAGCTCAAGAGATCTCTAGGGCTCATCGTACGGGACGCGTACGGGGGCGACCCGGACTTCGTTAACGATCTCAGGAATGCATTTGGCGATTTTATGAACGACCGCAGCATCGCGGCGACATGGAGCTCGGGGACATCCAAGGTCGGAGAGATGATTGCAAAGTACGTCGACATGCTGCTTCGAGGTGGCATCAAGGCTCTGCCGAAAGTGATGCTTTCGGACAACAAAGACCGAGCTGCGGCAGAGCAGAGCGGGTTGGCCAGCACCGGAGACGAAGACGCGGAGCTGGACCGGCAGCTCGACCAGGCTCTCGAGCTTTTCCGCTTCATCCAGGGCAAGGACGCATTTGAGGCGTTTTACAAGAAGGACCTGGCCCGTCGTCTGCTCATGGGCAGGAGTGCCAGTCAGGACGCCGAACGAAACATGCTCAGAAAGCTCAGGGAGGAGTGCGGTATGAACTTTACTCATAACTTGGAGCAGATGTTCAAGGACGTCGAGGTGGCCAAAGAGGAGATGGAAACGTACAAGCAATGGTCCGAAGGCACCGGCGTTGACAGAGCCCCTGTCGACCTCTCGGTAATGATCCTCTCGGCTGCTGCTTGGCCAACGTATCCCGATGTCAAGGTACACCTGCCAGACGATGTGGCCAAACAGATTGAGCGCTTCGATCAATACTATAAGAATAAGCACACCGGCCGGCTCTTGAATTGGAAACACGCTCTGGCGCACTGCACGGTCAAGGCAAAATTCCCCAAAGGTACGAAGGAGCTTCTCGTCAGCGCATACCAGGCGATCGTCCTCATTCTCTTCAACGAGGTCGGTCTCGAGGGCTTTCTCACCTATGAGCAGATCGCGCACTCCACGAATCTCCAGGGCGGGGAACTGGTCCGGACGCTGCAGTCACTCGCATGCGGCCAGTTCCGCGTGTTGACGAAGCACCCCAAGGGTAAAGACGTCAACCCAACAGACACGTTTACGATCAACAAGGCGTTTGTGCATCCAAAGATCCGGGTCAAGATCAACCAAATCCAGCTTAAGGAGACCAAGGAAGAGAACAAGGCGACGCACGAACGCATCGCGCAGGATAGGCGGTTCGAGACACAGGCGGCCATTGTGAGAATCATGAAGAGCAGGAAGGAGATGAGCCACGGCGAGCTGGTGGCCGAGGTTATCAACTTGACCAAGAACCGCGGGGCGGTTGATGCGGCGCAGATCAAGAAGGAGATTGAGAAGTAAGTTGTCCCGCGGTGAGACGCGAGAGCCTGAACGTCGCTAACCGCCAAACAGCTTGATTGACAAAGATTACCTCGAGCGCGAGGGCAACACCTACACTTACCTGGCGTAGACAGAGAGGTGCCAGTAGAGTTAGACAGGCGTCGGACAAGGGGCGGTATCGAACTGCATGTCGGAAAAGGTCGATGTACATGAGCATAATGAAATGGGTTCCGGATGAACAAAAACCGGAATATGGGCGTTGAGAATAATGGGAACTACGGAGTCAACTTTGCCAATCTCGTGAGCATCGCCATTCAGGCGAGGCCCAGGACCTGGGTTACTCAGCGGTGCAGAGTGATGTGGTCCCTAATACTTTGACGCGGCTCGAGGAATATAGTCGTACCATGCGCCCGTAACGGAACACACATACAGTCTTCGATGCATATTCAGCATGAGCGTGATACGGGGGGCACTGCGTACAGCGTCGGTGAGCTCGGTCAGGACCCCTGCTAGACAGGCGGGGCCCTGCGGAATATCGTTCCACCTAGCGCATTGCGGGGTTCGAAAAAAGTTGCGGCGGTCCCCTCTGTAGCGGTGCGCCTGGGTCGGGGTCTGCCAAAATTTTGGGAAATTTTGTGCCAAAGGCGGTCGGCCAGAAAGATTCCCCGAGCAGCCTCTTTAACTCGCAGTCGACCCTCGAATTCGCGAACCAACCGGCCCCCCTTACGATCCGAAGTCGTAAACAGTGCATTTAGTTTGATACTCAATTCCTCATCTTTATCTTCTTTTTTTTTCTCTCTTTTTTTCTTGTTTCGAGATACCCAGCACACAGACGTCCCGTCACTCGCAGCCGCCAAGATGCCCAAGTCGAAGCGCAACAGAGTGGTCAACCTGACCCAGGTGAACAAGAAGACGCGCGAGCAAAAGGACAAGCTCTTCGCCAACATCCGCGAAACGGTCCCGGAATACCAGCACTGCTTCGTCTTCAGCGTCAACAACATGCGCAACAACTACCTCAAGGAGGTCCGCCACGAGCTCAACGACTGCAGGTTCGTTGTCTTCCGTCCCCAGTCTCCCGCCGTCGTGCAAAAAGGAACACCCCAGGGACGCCGAAGGCCCTCCCCCTTCCCGGCAGGAACCGCAATGTACAACAGGCTAACAGAGGCGCGCGCGCGCGCGCACCACCCACACAGACTCTTCTTCGGCAAGACAAAACTCATGGCCAAGGCCCTCGGCCAGGACCCCTCCTCGGCCGTCGCCGACGGCATCGACCGCCTGACCCCCTTCCTCGCCGGCACCGTCGGCCTCCTCTTCACCAACCGCGACCCGGCCGCGATTCTCTCCTACTTTGACGGCGTCTCCCCCGTCGACTTCGCGCGCGCCGGCACCGTCGCGACCCGCGGCTTCACCGTCCCCGCCGGCGTCGTCTACGCCACGGGCGGCGAGGTCCCCGCCGAGCACGACGTGCCCATGGAGCACAGCATCGAGCCCGAGCTGCGCCGTCTCGGCATGCCCACGCGCATGGTCAAGGGCCGCGTCTGCCTCGGCGACGCCGAGGGCGGCGGCGAGGGCTACGTCGTCTGCCGCGAGGGCGACGTCCTCGACAGCCGGCAGACGAGGCTGCTGAAGCTGTTTGGCATCTGCCTGAGCGAGTTCAAGGTCCAGGTTCTGGCGTACGTCTTTATATGTTTATTAATACTCTTCCCGTTTATTCTTGCCCCGAAGAATACCATGGCTAACTTTCTTTTTTTTTACCCCCATCCGCAGATACTGGAGCGCCTCTTCAGGAAAGGTGACGGAGGTGAACCCCAACGCCATGGACGGCGTCGAAGACGAGAGCGACTAAAGCTGTCGGAAGCACTGAATGACCAGAGAGAGAGACACGAAAGGGGAAAGAAAGAAAGAAAAGCTTCTAGACTTGATGATTGCTTTCTGTCACGTAGGCCGATACCATCATGGATTTGCGAGGGTGGATTCTAAAAAAAAACAACTCACGGCGTTCCGGGCGGTTTGTTTAGAGAGACGATTTTTCGGCCATGCGTCGAGGGACCAAATATTTATCACTTTTTTTTTTCCATCTCTTCCTCTCGCCTGCCCTTTCACACACACACGCACATAGGTATACACAGGAACACAAAAGTCCCTCTCGGTGGGAAGGCAAAGCTTTTTCTATACGTAAGGAATTCGGAGCGGGCAGGCTGTGTGCTCTCCGATGATATGAAGCAAGGAGAAAGCTACCGTACGACCTTGTCTGCGTAGAGAAACGAGAAGAGGTCCTCACCTATTGATACAAGTGAAAAAAACGAAGAAAAAAACGTGGTACATGCCCTTTTTTTTTTTTTGTTCCTTTTCCGCGTCTCCTTACTAAGCTCCAGGTCAGTAGGCACGGAGTCCCTTACCTCTGACCTTACCTGTCCAGTAGTGTGTTGAGTCGATTCGTCGTCTGGTCCTTGGATCCGGGCCGATGCCGCAAACGCGAGTAAAAAGGTTACCTTGGAACCAACTGCTGCAGACGTTCAAGGCATTTTGGTGAAGTGCGAAATGCTTGTATGCTGTGGGATACCGACGCGCCTGGTTTTGGTTTGCGTTGAATATACTTGCCCAGTGGCATGGGTTTGACTTGTCTTGATCCGAATATGGAGGTACTGGAGGAATATTGCGCCCGACACCTTCTGCTTACCCTCGATAGAGAAGGGGAAGAAGAAAATAAACAAAGAGATGAGACGAGCGACTTGCCACCCACCGCAAGACACTACGTGTCTCGTCAGTAACGACGCAACTTCCTGGGGTCTTCGTAGCCGCCGCCTTCGTAGCCACGTTTCCTGCTGTCATCGTCGCGAGGTCGGTCAAAGTCCCTGTCCCTGTCGCGTCCGCGGTCCCGGTCTTCTCTGTCGCCTCGGTCACCGCGATACCCACCTTCTCCTCTGGGTCTGATCGGCTCCATGTTGCTTCCAGTTCTGCGGCCGCCATCGCGATCCCGGTCGCCACGGTCGCCGTGACGACCTCCATCACGGAAGCCACCGCCGGATCTGTCGTCAAATGAGCGGCCACCACGGTCATACCCACCGCCGGAGAAGCTGCGGTCGCCTCGGTCACCACGGTCACCTCCGAGGCCGCGACCAGGTCCTGAGGGGGCATCTCTGGGTGCGCCGTATCCGTTGGGGCCACGGTCACCACCTCGGCCGCCAAAGTCGCCGCCTCCACGGAAACCTCCGCGGCCGCCGCCAAACCCTCCCCTGAAGCCTCCGCGGCCACGTCCTCCCTCGAAGCCGCCACGAAAGCCTCCTCGGAAACCGCCGCCAAAGTTGCCACCAGGTCCGCCGCCCATTGGTCTAGCCGGAAGAGCCTTGGTGTAGCCTCTGCCGCCAAGACCGCCGCCAAATCTACGGGGCACCCAGCCCTTGACGGTGCGGCCTCGCTCGACGTCTACCTTGATCCGTCGGTCCTTGATTCGAATACCATCGCAGGCATCTAGAGCAGCTACTCACCAGTGCGCCAAGGCGCGTGTGTCAGTAAAACCTTAGCAATATCATACCTTTGCATCATGGTTGAGTAAAGAGAGAGAAGAAAACATGACTTTGAGACGGGCAATCTTGAGGGCCACAGATCTCGGTGTATAAAGCAGAGCGCGGGCAAGCCTGAGGGCCTCGCGCCTGATGGGGGGGAGGACTGGCGGACAAGCTATGTCTCGTCGCAAAGGGGTGGGTTCGGCGGTATTACCTCTCATGTCTTTTTCTCGTTCAAATACGACGAAGGCGTAGCCGCGGTGGGGCTTCTTCTTCTTTCTGGGCTTCTCATGTGCATGAGTGTCAGTGATGATGCGAATCTGTTCATGTGTTAGTGGTGGACCGGCAAGCATAAAGGGGGCATGGGACCCATACGCGCTCAATGGGGCCGAATCGCCCAAACTCCCTCTCGAGGTCCTGTTCGTTGGCCTCGTACGAGAGTCGCGCAACGATCAGGGTCTTGAAAGCGTCGCCACGGATATTTGGATCTTCGTGTGGCTTGACTGGATGACGAGAGGGTTAGCAAAGATTCCTCGATGGCCGGCAAATTGGGAAACGGACAGTTCTTCGGCCCCTCAGTCTTCAGCCTCTCAACGGCGGCCTGTTTTTCGAGCTTCTTGCGGTCGCGCATCTGCAGCCAACTCTCAGTCGGCTTGTATTCGTCCGTTTCCTTGTAATGTTGGAGCGCGGGGAGGAACTCGGCGACGCCAGAGACTGGTAGGGTTCGTCGCGACTCGGGCGCATGGTCGGGAGGCGGAACCCATCGCAGCGGAGGGCGTGGCGCGAAGAGCGCCAGCAGGTTAGGGGGGAGCTTGTCCGTCATCGCGAGGGGGTAACTTTTTCAAGCCCCGGATGTGGCAGTCGGCTGCTCGGATGAGATGCGGAAAGTCTGTTGACTAGCAATACATCAATCGAGCGCAGTGGGATGAAGCTTGAGAAGGAGGCGTAGCGTCGCGTCGATCCGGAAATTGACACGAGAGAGCTTGGGAAAGTTTGTGGTTCAGCCTGGCGCAGCCAACGTCGTTGGTCCAATCAACCGTGGTTCAGCCGACCCAGTCCTGGTGCGGAGGTACGTACCGAGCCCATGCTGCCACCTCAGCTTGGGTGCCGGCGGCCGGAATATCTTGCATTTTCGCGCTAAGAAATTTCCCGCCCGTCCCTGAACAGGAGCTTCTCGTGACCCATTCCATCAATTGGATTCTGTACGCCAAGCAGGATACCATGACGATCAAGGCACTTAAGACGGTGTCTACCGGCCGTGTGAGAACTTTTACTCACAGAACTACTTGGGTCCCTCGCTGACAATCTCACAGAATGGCCTCGGCGCCTTCATCCTGCAATGCAGGAAGATGGACATCCACTACTGCGACTGGGCTGGCAGCTCCAAGGGAATGAAGTATGCAGGTCCTGAGCACCAGCGGCTGGAATCTCTGCTGACACTTTTCCCAGAGGTTTTATCAAGTCGCAGCTCCCCAAGTTTGCTGCCGCCAACCCTCAGATCGAGTTCAATGTCTCCCCCCGTCCTTCGAAGCACCCCATCATCGTTGGCCACTACATCAACGGCCGCGAAAAGGCCATATGCGTGCGGAACATGGAGCCCCTCGAGATCCTGAAGAAGGCGGAATTGCTGCGCGACGCCAGCGGAGAGAAGGTCAAGAGGGTGAACAAGCCGGTGACGAGCATTAACCCTAGTGTCAGGGGCATCTGGAGTCCTTACCACGGAAAGGGCATGACTGTATAAATACAAGGGGACGCGGGCGCCTTCGATTTGGGAAACGTGTAAAATTACGAACAGAGCAAGGCGTGTATAGGAGAAGACGGCATCTTGGATGCTTGTATCATACGAACAACTAGCAGGATGGGAAGAGGATCCCCTCCAAAAAGCGCTCGAATTAAAATCTCAACATTCACGGGGTCTCCGTCATGCATGTGGTAGGGGTATAATGTCCTTTTGTTCTTCTCCGCGCCCTTTGGGCGCTACGGAGTACTCTTCTTAACTGAGGTTACCTTGGGTTGCTCCAGGCCCATTTCAGCCAGAGTTTTAAAGTCATCATCATCAAGTATGTAATCATCCACGTTTACTGCTTGGCGTTGACGATGTCGACGACTGGAGACTGTCAGCTGCCCGCTCAAGATGGAAAGATGGGAAACACTCACAGCCAGGCTTCAGGGAGGCACCGCCAACCAAGAAGCCGTCAATGTCCTTCTCCTTGGCAAGGTCCTTGCAGTTCTTCTCGTTGACACTGCCGCCGTACAGGATGCGGGTCTCGTCAGCAACCTTATCGCTGACCTCCTTCTTGAGCCAGGCACGGATGGCGGCGTGGACCTCCTGGGCCTGGTCGTTGGTGGCGACCTTGCCGGTGCCAATAGCCCAGATGGGCTCGTAGGCAATGACGATCTTGGACCAGTCGGAGATGACGGCCTTGAGGGCGGCCAGCTGCTTGCTGACAACGTCAACGGTGGTGCCGGCCTCACGCTCCTCGAGGCTCTCGCCGCAGCACCAGATGGCGCCAACACCGTTCTCGGTGGCGTACTTGGTCTTGGAGGCAACAACCTCGTCGGACTCGCGAAGGATGGTGCGGCGCTCCGAGTGGCCGAGGATAGCCCAGTTGATGTTGAGGTCCTTCAGCTGAGAGACGCTGATCTCGCCGGTGAAAGCACCGTTGGGCTTGTCGAAGACGTTCTGGGCGGCAACCTCGACGTCCTTGCGGAGAGAGTCGCGGACGAGCTGGAGGTAGATGGCAGGGGGGGAAACGACGACCTCTGCGGAGTGAGCGTCAGCCAAGTTGCACCCCCGGTGAGCCAGCATTTGAAGGGCTTGCACGTACCAGTGTTGGGGTCAAGGTTGGCATTGTTCAGATTCTGGACAATCTCCTTGATGGACGAGATGGACCCGTTCCTGTGATGTTGAAGACACAGTGCGTCAGTCTATTGTGTTTTGGCCGGCTTCCATGTTCACATCCCCTCTCTTCGGAGGTGCAGAGATGGCAGTACCCCGCCATTGGGAGAAGACCTACATCTTGAAGTTGCCGCCGACGAAGAACTTGCGAGCCATGTTGGGCAATTGGTAGTGTCTGGTGGTTCAAGGGGGTTTGTTGGAGCGTGAGACGTCTGGGTGACTGTCGGGAGGAAAATATCAGATCAAGGCTGGACATAAAATGACGCAGGAAGGGTTTGGAAGTGGTAGCTCGATCGTGCCAAGTAGGTGGTGAAAAGACCTCAGGGTTGGGTCACGTCAAAAGCTCCAGCGCGAGGTGGGCTCGTCTCATGGAGGGGCAGCAGGAGGGGCAGCAGCCGGTACCGCCGCTAGCACGCCAAAAACACCAGTTTACAGCACATAATCAGTAGTTCCGGTGGGGATCCGGGGTCTGCCCCGCCACTCAACCTACCTAGGTACTTGAGTAGGTAGGTACCTACCTAGAAGCTAGCAGTCGAGCTTCGCTCACCTGACGGTGGGATGGAAGTCTGCAGAGTGCAGTGTGCTGTGGGCTGAGACCATCCTCCAACAACCAGCGCCCCTCAACAGTTTCCTCCCCGGCGCCCAGTACGACGGTTGCACTTCCTTTGGCACCCGAGGGCCGAGTTTCTTATTTGACGACCCAATCGGATGTCCGCTATCGTCTCTTTATGTAGGTATGAGTGATTGGCAGACAGCAGCACACAACTCACCCGAGAGTAGTTAGCATGAGGCTTTACTCGGGCACGCACAGTGAGGTGTTGAACCTCCTCGCCAACCGTGAAGAAACCAATGCGAGACTTACTTTTCTCACAAAGCCAGTCAAGTGCCCCAAGTGCCAGAGTTCACAGCCGAACTTGGTCGACTCGAGATACCTTGACTCTGTTTGAAGATGCCTCTATCAAGTTCGACGGCATGTGGCAACGGACTCGGTCAGTTGGAACCCTGTTTCTCCCGATTCCACGGCTATCTTGGTTGCCAGCCCCCATCAAAGCTCGGTAAATCCGGGGAAGCAGCGTTTTCTCGGTTGCAGATGGTATACTAACAAGTAGTTCAACAAGTGAAGATTTTGTTTGATACCGAGACCCCGAGTAAGTACTGTGCCAGTCTCGTCTGCCGTGTCGGCAACCCTCCATGACGGGCGTGAGGGGCTCAACCGTCATATTTCCACGGTTTCGACAATCAAGATGCCGTCGTCGCACGTAGAGACTTGCTTTGATCTTACCTCCGATGCGAAAGACGAAAGCTGTCATTTAATGCCACAGCTCCCATTGCCGGCGTGCTTGCAGTTCTGAGTCACCACCAGACAAGCGCGTCCCAGGACAAGTGGGTATCGTGTTCACTCCGGGCATCAAGAAGGAAGCAAGCTATGATGGTGCTGTCTCAAAACCCCTCCGGGCCAACCACGACTCGGATCACCGAGGAGATTAGCAAGTGCAGGGTCGCGTCTGACTCCCACGCTTGCCATGGATGGTATCACCAGAGGTTGACGATCGGCAATCTTGCAACCCCTCAGTCTTCGCAGGGCAGCGCACGGGTCACCATATTCGGGGGCTGCTGCCGAGTGATTACTCTCCTTTTGTGAGCGGCATCCCCAACGTGGGCCGGGCCGGCTCACATTGTTGACAGTGCTCGACTTTCCCCGAGTCGCGCTGGTAGGGGCATCGTGCTAGGCCTGGGCCGTTGGGTCGCGGCTCTGCGAAACCACAAATTGTGAAACAGGTTCGGATTCGACTGCAGTTTGCTTGCGAGCCTGGCATTCCAGATGTGCCAACGCCCCGCGTCTAACTGCAGCATACAGCCCGTGGTCTGCCGTTCCATGTCAAAAATAGACAGGCGTTGTGGACTTACACTGGACAGGCCGAACGAGCATTTGACGTGACGGGGTTTGCTGAAAGAAGAGACGACGAAACTCATGCCAACTGCGATGCGCACTGGCCGCCTCTCGGATCTGACACCAGCACCTCCCACCTCTGTCTCTTCTGGCAGTAGCTTTCCTCCGCTGGCCCTTGGCTGTGTCACGACGATACCATGCTCGTGGAGACGCAGTCCGACCAAGCAAGTCCGAAGTCGCCAAGGAATATAACTCCACAGGAACGAAAGACCTGGAAACCGGAACTACCCGGCAAAGACAAGGCAAAGTGATGGCCCCTAGGGGGCGGATGACGGTTCTTGGGCGTATCATGAGGCCACCGAGGCAAAGGAGTCTTGGACGACACAGTATGCAAGATGTGGAGGTCTCTTCATAGGACGGGGGCTTCGAGTATGATTGTGATCGCAACTCCATCCGAATGTTTCTTCTGCATATCGCGCTATCGACCATCGAAGAATCGTGTGAAACACGCCCAGTACACCACGTCGTCTGCCACACGAGACGTCTGGCCTTTCTAGAAGAACGCTATGTTTCTGTCCCTGTCACTTCATCGAGTATGCATCGCAACTGATGAATGGTATGCAGGCAAGTCTATGAATCTAATGTATGTCGGGCGTCGCTATATGAGTTGACGATTAACCTAGCCAGTCAAAGAGGGGCGGGGGCAACGGGTGTCCCTCGTCCGGGGGGCGCAGCTCAAGGCAGTCCGGACACCAGTGGGGTCTTGATTCCATGGGCCAATCGTATCTCTGCTGGACGGAGCCAAAAAGCAGATCGTGGTGCGGAAGAACGAGGAGAGAGCTGGGCTGGGCTCCCGCAGAGGTTCTTCTAATAACATCCGACTGTGTTAAGAGTATGACCGTGTATCAGTGCGATCTAGTAGTAAAGAGGGACCGCATTGGAAAGAACAGCGGGACCGAGCTGCGCGCCCATGGGTGACTAGACCCCGGTCGACTTGTGTCAGTCCAAACACCTGCCCGCCGGCATGTGGTTCGAAAAGAGATTGGAAATAGCAGCTGGGGTCATACAATCATCGTAGGGGCTGCCGGCGTCTGGCGTCACTTTTCGGGCTGCGATTACTGTGCGGGCTGATCTGTGGCAACTACCAACTTGGACGGGTAACACCAAGCAGGCAGCTCCAAGGTTCCCCATAGCAGTCGTCGTTTCTACGATGACCAATATTGAAGGAGAGAGAGGGTGGCGGATTAGGAAGATGGAAGATGATTCGAAAGCGCAAACGCCGGACTGGCAAAATGCTTCCGAAAACCCTCTGCCAACTTCAAAGCCTCACGTCACCATACGCCACTCGGACCGTTCTCTCCTTCACCGCCAATAACACAGTGAACCTGGTGTATACCGTTCGTTAGACACGGAGATATCTAACGGCTATTCGCAATGGAACGTCTATACCCGAGGTGATGGGAACCACACCCTTCAAGGCCAAGACGTAGAAGAGAGGGCGAGGCTGTCATAAATGTCTCTTGTGGACTTGGCCCACATACGATGACCCCGTCTAGACCCCGTCTATAGGGTTCTCTACTACTCTTACAAGGGTGTCGAAACAGGGGATACGAGAGAAGCACCCAAAATGACCCCCTGTTATTCAACGTCTTCTGACATGTCCTGTTTGAACTTCCCTCGTTCAACTGTCAATGCGTCGCTGCAACTGAGGATCCGTGCGTCCCGCCAAGCTCCAAACATCCTCCTCTGGGATCTTCAAGCGGGAAGACATGTCATTAAGTCGTGGTGGTGTGCGCTACCAAGTACAACCTTGACCGCCCATCACCATTGCCAACGGCACCACCACCACCTTCGCTACCACCACCGCTACCATCACCACCACCGCTATTGCAACCCTTCCCTGCCAAGGGGGACGGAGCGATCCTCCCGACTGCGGCTTGCTGTCAAATACAAGTCGTTTCCGGCCAGCAAATCGTCGGATCCCTGCTCACCCCTTGCTCTATCACCCTCATGATGGCAAACGCCATGCATAACATGCGCCATCACGGGTGAAGGAGGCCTGACGTCTCCCACAGCCAAGACCGGGGGGGGAGGCTGCTCATCGCACAGCCGTACTCTGTATTGGGAGATACTATTGGTTTTCATCTCGATAGCAACAACCGATCCCGGTCATTTAGAGTTGGGTCTGCAACTTGAGCCTCCTCGACCCGCCAAAGGTACGGCTCCCCCAGTCGCGAGGTCAAACGACAACAGGGCTGGAACCGGTTCTCGCCAACAACCGGTCTTGTGGAGTAAACGCAACGATGTCGCAGCATTGGCATACCCAATGAAGAAAGGCGCGAAATCTGCTTGCTTGCCTAATCGGTCGACTCCATTCATACGGACGCGCAACTTGGTCCAAGGTAGCCTTGGGTCAACGTCGCAACACCCACCGTTCTTCTCTTTTCAGCACTACACCCGTAGTGGTCCCGGGTGGTGGTCCATTGGCCAAGAAGGGACGAGATGACACGGCAACACCGGTTCTCTACTACGACCCCAGTACAAGCTGTCAGTGCGGCCGTGAGAACGACTCGCCATCACACCAGTCACCCCGCAGCCCGGTGCCAGGGTTAGGACAACGACACCATGGAGAGGAAAAGGATATATTGGGCCAGGGCACACATCGTTGCGCTGATCTCGCAAGCTCAATATATGCTTTTTCCTTTCCTTCGTCTAATGGTTTGGCTCAAGCACGGGCGCCAACAGTGAAAGCTTCCCATTTGCCCTTCTGCCATTCGCCCATTCCGCCCATTATTCGTCTACCGCGTACCCGGACCAGCTCTGTCGACGTGAAGGGAAAAGAATAAGGAGCAGAGAATCCCCAAACTTGCCCGGCGCCTCTGCTTTGCCGCGCCCTTTGCCGAATCTCGTGCCTGCAACATGTCCACACCATCGACGACATGAGAGCTCCGCCGGTTGAAGTCATCCTCAGTTGGCCACCACCGAATTACGACAACCCCGAAACTAGAGGCCCGGTCAACCAGATCGTCGCCCTCTCCCTCCTGGGCATTACCACAGTCCTCCTAGCGATTCGGATCTACACGCGTCGATACATCAGCAATGGCTTCGGCTGGGATGACATCCTTATTATCCTGGCCTCCATACCAGCCATAGGGTTCGTGGTCCTCGGGGTGGTCGCCTTGCAGAAGCTTGGCTGGGGTCGTCATGTATGGGATACGCCCCCGGGGATGCGTACGGGGTCGCGCCAAATCGGTCTCGCAAGCCAGATCTTGTTCGACCTGGCTACCAGTTTCACCAAGCTCTCGATGCTTGCTCTGGTGTACCGGATCGCCTGCGCGGCTTCAAACAAGTTGAGGATATTAGTCATGACACTCCAAATCATCATCTCGGTCAACTGTATCGTCTTCATGCTGGTATCGATGCTGCAGTGCCGGTGAGTCTATCTCTGACGCCTCTGACCCCTCCTTGACTAACAACAAAAGGCCCCTGCAGCTCTACTGGACGCTCTCGCTCAAGCCACAGAACTGTATCAACGAGGGCACGCACCTCGTGACCGCAAGCATCATCAACACTGCTACCGACTTCTTGGTGGTTCTACTGCCACTCGTCATCGTACGCGTCGTCTATGCCGGCAAGCTTACCCCGAGGCAAACGATCATTGTCAACCTCTTGTTCGGTGCCGGCTTCATCGCCACTGCCGCTGGCGCAACGCGGACGTATTTTACCATTGTTATGACCACAACGCCGGATACTTCGTGGCATGCCTGGCTCTACTGGCTGGTAGCCTGTATCGAGCTTTTCCTCGGCATCATATGTACCAGCATCCCCGCCACCAAACCCTTCTTCAACAAATACGTTCCGAAGCTGTTGGGCACGGCTCGCAGGTCGAGGTTCAGTGGCCGCGGCAGCGCCGCACTCACAGAACCGATTACCAAGGCTTCCGCTTTTACCAGTCGGGCCTCGAACGAGTCTGTTGTAGGGGAGCCCGCAGCCTTTCCGGCAGAATGGAAATCCCCCGCGACGAAACGTTTTAGCGAGGCAACGCTTAACAAACCTCTGCCGGCCGTGGCGAAGTATGACTCGGTTTACACCATCAACATCCAACTCGACGAATCTAGCTTGGGGCCGGCCGACAGGACGCGCGCCCCCGGTGGTCGAATAACGGAACAGACAGACAGAGCCTGGCGCCCACCAGCGAGCAATTTCAGCCGGCCAAGGGCTCTCCATGCCCGCTGCAGCTCGGACCCGTCGAGTCAGCACCGGCTCAGCATCTACGGCTCGAGAACAACCAGATCCGAAAGCCGCAACACCAACACCACCGCAGGCGAGAGCAGCCGCTACAGCCATATTCTAGACGACATTGAGAGCGTATACCGCCACAGCATCCGCGAGCTCGATGAAGAGAGGGCCTACAGTCCCCACGTGCGGCATAGCTACTCCGCGGTGCCCGAGCCACTGAGAAAACACGGCAAGTCTGTGTCGGTGAGCACGTTCAGAGGTTGACTGAAACGGAAACAAGAAAAAGTATGTTATTTACAAACATAAACGGGAGGGTAAGAGGCATAGCATAGCTTTTGCGGGGGGTAGCTTCCTGCAGGGAGGGGAGGAGAAAAGAGACAGAGAGAAGGAGGACATATGATACGCCACTAGCAGCGGTCAGTCCCTTGCATATTACTTACTCTTTCGGCCAATTCTTTTTTATATATATACTTTTGTAGTTTCCAGGAACCTGCGCGGGAGCCGAACCCGAATCTTAAGCAATGACGTTCACGACCAGTAACTAATGCAGACTGTTCATCCTCGAAGAAGAGGAAGCTTCCCTGGTCCGAAGTGCTTATCTCGGCGCCCGCCCTCCCATCTGTACATCCTGCTCGCCCCTCGGAAATCCGAGCTGTAGGCATCCCGATCGCCCTGAACTCTCCCGCCTCTGCCGAGTCGTACGGATGTTGGACGAAGGCATGTTTGGTGGCTCAAACTTTGTTCCGTCGTCGTCCGTTTCAAACAACAGAGACAGTGGGAAACGACAGAGAATCGCACCAGGGCACACCGCTCTCACCTGGTGGCTGGCAAGCGCATGAGATGGTGTCTGTCGTCCCTTCTGCCGACCACACTGTCAGCACATCAACTTCTAGCCCCTCGAGGTCATCGGCCGGCGGCGGCAGTTCGGCAGGGGGGAGGCAGACAGGTAAAACTTCCAGGCACCAGTGAACTGGCAGACTTGATTCCTCTGCAACGAGGAGACACGCACCATGCGACGCAATCGACAGTAAATGCGGCGGCCAAGCCAAGGCGGCTTCACTGTCGACGCAGGACGAGCGACCGGCCCGCTCGTTGCCTCCCCGGCGTTGAGCTGAATCGGGCCAGCAGCGCGAGGCCGCGGGGGGGTTCAAAGTATAAACACACACACACACAACACGATGTAAAAAAAGAAGAGGAATAAAAGGGCCGATCGTACCACTCTTCAGAGCAGATCCGAATCCGAACGTCATCAGCCCGCTCGCCACGTGGTTCATTAATCAAGCCATCGCGGGCGGGCGTGTGCAGCCGCTTCGATCTGGAGTCTCTCTTTCTTTTCTCTCCCTTCTCCTTCTGTCCTTCCCAGTGAAAGAGGGCTTAGCCGAAACTCCACACTATGCCGATGATCGCGCTTCATGCCTCCTCCTCCTCCTCCTTCTTCTTCCTCCTTTTTCTTTTCTTTTTCTTCTGTGCGGGGGGACGAGTAACTGGGGCGGGCGTGTCCGACCATTCCCTAAAAGAAAAGAGAAAAATGCCCGCGCAGGCTAGACGTCGACATCAGATGGACCCCAAAAGCCCATGGGAGGTCGTTGTTAGCGAGTACCTACCAGGTAATCTGATCTCATCTATTGCCCCTCGGGGTCTAATAACGAACTGTAAATCACCAACGAGAGGCAAAAGGGGGGGGGGGGGGGGGGGGGGGTCCGCTATTACTATTACAAGTCAGACCGGGTCTTGCTTTACCGCATCTCCCAAGAGGGGGGAGGAGAGTCATTTGGCGCGTCCCCAGGTAGGCCTGTCGGTTTACAGCAAAGCCAACCTTCCGCAGGGTGTTGGCAGAACATACCGGTTCTTGAAAAAGAACCTCGTACCGGTAGTCTTCCGCTCAAACATTTGGACCTTTCCTGCCAGGGGGGGGGGGGTTTGGTTTCCGAGTTTTCAAAAACTCTGCCATAACTTGGTCCTTCTCACCTCCTTCCCTCTGTGTCCCTTCCACGAAAACAAGAGAGTTCGCCATCTCCTGACTCTTGTCCCTTAGCTTTTGCTTTTTCTTCTTCGTCTCCGTCCCTTCTTCTGACTGTGCGCCCCCCCCCCCCTGCCGCGATTCGGAACCCTGGCCTTGTTGTCGATGGCAGCGGCGCACCGCAGCAGAGCTCTCCCCTCCCCTACGTCTTGCCACCCGAGCTTCGTCGTATAAGTTGGCCGTGCCGAGAAGCCTCTTAACTTAACCCGAACATAGAATGGATGGCGTCCTCGTCGAGAGAGAGAGAGAGAGAGAGAGAGAGAGAGAGAGAGAGAGAGAATAGCCACGACTCCCCTCCTCTTTCCCATGTCAATAGCCAAGCTGAGAACCACACACACACACACACACGCGCTGCAAAGTCGAGAACGCGAGAGTTCGGCCGGTATCTAGGGTTCTGCCATGGCAGCCCACCAACTTTGGGCAAACGCCAGGGATCAGCCTTGTACCCTCTCTCATCTGGAAGGGGGAGAAGGGGCGGGGGGCGGCCAGCCTCACTTAAACCTCACCACCAAGATTTTTCATCCCATCGCGACCGCCTGAGAAGCTCGCTCATTTTGCCTTTTGAACCTCTACCCCAACCCCCCTTCTTCCCTCTTCCCTCTTCCCTCCTCTCTTCCCGCCCCTCTTCCCACCCTTCGTTTCATCATGTTGACGTGTGTAGCGGTGCTGCCGTCGCTGGCCGGAGGAATCATGGCCACGTACTTGGGGCTATAGGCCATTTCACGGATGGGATAAACACCCCTGGCTACTATGGTTAGCAGTAGTAACAAGCTAGATTCGACAAATCAGTAAGGGTATAGTTAGTTCCCAAAGGGGACCTCAAAGCTCAGCACCGGAGTTTTTCCAATTCTTTTCAGTTTTTAGTTTTTTTTCTTTTTTTCTTTTTTTTCAACTCTCGCTCTCCATAGCTACTCCATCTCCTTGTATGCTTTCAAATCAAAGTACAAAATCTCCAAGTTGCTGTTGTTCCATCCTCGAGTCTGTGTAACTCGCCACTATATTTCGTGGCTGGGCCTCGTTCTGTGAGGGCTTCCTTCCCAAAACAAAATACAAGTTCTGTTGTGTCGAGCGTGAGCTCTTACATGTATGTACCCTCTTCTAATACATCCCGCAATGTTGCCCAAAAAAATAAATCACAAAAATCAAACGTGCCTCGCCATGTTGACCGGCATTCTTCCCCTTCCTTCCTCTGGCCGCGGCTCGGCCCTTATTGGAGTACACCTCATGGCTCACGAGTCTCCTGATGGTGTGTCCATGGCTTGCTTCCTATCCCGCATGTGAACTGAGCCGGGCGGCTTGCGGGATTACGTCCTTGGGCCTTGCGGCGGTTCATCCGTTGGAGACAAAGATGTTCTGGAACACACGCGAGTCCCTCGCGGTGGTGTGATTGCTCCTAGTGACTAGCAACGTCCACAATTTAGAGGACCAGGTTGCTGTCGGAAACCAAGCTCGATGCGCTTGCATCTTGGGCTGGTTAACCATTCTGGTGTTGAAAGAAACTGAAGGGTTCTGCGAACATCACCCAGGTCAGTTTTTGCCGTCTGATAAAAGAGCATTGTGGGCTCTGACGGACCAAGGGAGCTGCTCATCCGGCCTGGACGAAGTTCTGGTGGAAGGACATCTTGGCATCCATTGGCTGAGACGGGCTCAGATTGTGTCCGATCTTGCCCATGGCGGCCAGGTGGTTTTGGGCGTCCTGAATGAGCTGAACGTTCCTGGTGTCCTCGGGTTGGTTGAGGCCACGGACAATGTCCTCGAGCGCCTGGCGGTGGGCCATCCACTCCTCGATGAGAGGCTTGGAAGACTGCTCCTCCTTGGCAGCGGCCTCCACGGCAGCGGCCTTGGCAGTGACCTTGCGAGAGGCAGGGACAGGTCCGACTACCTTGGGGGCATCCTTGCGCTTGCGGCCCTTGGAGCTCTGCTGTCCGTTGCTTGTGCTGGTGGGAGATCCAGGGATTCCGTTGTCGTTGTGGACACGGCGCATGTGATCCTTGAGGTTCCACTGGCGAGGGAAGCCATTGCCATGCATGGCGCGGTCGCATCCCTCGTAGGAGCACAGGAAAGGCTTGTCGCCGTGGCCGTGCATGGCGTGGGCCTCACGCTCGTGACGGAGCAGGCATGCGGTGGAAGAGAACCGGGCGTTCTCGCAGGAATCAATCTTGCAGCGGTAGGGCTTCAGGTGGGAGTCCACGAACTTGCTGTTAAAGGGGAAAAGGCGGTTAGTCGCGTGGGCGGGGATGGCAAAATGACCAAACAGTCGACTCACTCGTAGTTGCACTTGAGCTTCTCGGGCTTGTGGTTACAGCTGGATTCTCCTTCCCACGGGCAGTGGAACAAGCCATCGGCTTGCGGGGTCGCGTTCTTGTACAGGGGGTGGTCCCGTGCGGAGTCACCCTCGTTGGTAGGCCGGCGGCTGGGGAAAGCAGGGGGCAGAGCGGCATCGCCGACGATGGTGAGGACACTTCCGTTGAGTTCGTCTCCCATGAACTTTCCTTGGGCGCTGTATAGAAGTGTCGAGTCAGAGGCTGACTCTAGGCTAGAGCAGCTGATCTGAGGAACGTACCTTGGAGACTGGCTTTGGATAATGGGGGAGACGTGCTCCGAGTGAGAGGGCGAGGACATGAGTGGGGCAGACAGCCACGAGTCCTCAGTGCTCCCGGCGGGCGATGACAGGTGAGACTCCGCGGGGCTGAAAGAGTTCCACGAGGCTGAAGGAGAGTGAGCACACAGGCTCGAGTCAGGGTCCAGCTGCATCTGAGCAGGCACAACGTGCATGTTCAGGTCGCCAGACGGGATACCGTCGGGGACCATGCCGAGCTCCATCGAGTTAAACCATTGCGACGAGACGGCGCTCGTGTCCGCGTCCAGGAAGTAGGGGTTCACGTCCATCATTTGGGCGCTGTGTTGGGGTCCGTTGAAGATGACGGCATTACCTGTGATGTCCATGGAGGACAGCTGGGCAGATACTTTAGACGACGCCGCAGAAGTCAATCTGGGGCGGGTCTTGGGAGATGTGACCTTGGAAATTCTGTGCTTGCGGCTTCCGGTCGAGCTGCGCGAAGTCCCTCTTCGCATCGACTCGCCGCCAGAAGGCACCACGGTTGTGGTGGGAGCGGCAGTAGCCCACTTGCTCTGCATGTCCTCGGTGGCTTGGCCCTGTCCTCGGGGCGTGATGTGACCATCAACTTGGAAAGAAAAGTCCTCGGAGTCTCCCGGGTGGGTAGATCCATTGTCTGAGAAGTCTTGAAAGTTCTGTGCACCTTCTCCTGTCGTTTCCCACGAACCACTCAAGGGGTCCGATGGTCCTGTTTGAGAAGAAAAGGAAAACATTCCTGTGGGAACCATTCCGGCTTGGAAGAAGCTGTAATCGCTGAGACGGGGGTTAGTGTGCTGTTTCTCCACTATTCATATATGCAACGCAAACAAAAAACAAAAAGCAATCAAGCCTGGCACAACTTTGTTCCTGTAGCACAGTTAGCGGTCGTTGCTTTACCTGCAAAGGTTCGGGGTTACGAGTTGACAGACCAGGCAAGCACAGATCCAGTAGATCAGGCCAGGGAGACGGTTCCGGGATGAGGCGTTCAGGTGGTAGGTCCAGGGCGTTCCAGGGACAAGACAAATGAAAGTTCTGGGCGGCGGCCAAGTAGGGTCAAGGCAGTGTCGAAACATGTTTGGCAGCACAGAAGACTCCAGATAGTGGACCATGTCATGGTCGATCTGGACATATGATGGTTCCGCTTGTCGTCAAATTGATGATGATCCCACGGTTCGTCAAGATTCTCCTTGGGTCGGTTAAATCCAGGTTTGAAGTTGCCGCCATGTTGAAACCATCAGAACACACAGGAATCCCCTCCTGTTGTTGAAAGCTGATGTCCTGTAGAAAATCCAGGTCCCTCAAGCCGAGGTTGTAGAATCGAAGCAAACGGAAATCCACGTCATGAACAGAGGCCGACACGCGCAGGCGCGACGAGCCTTGATCCGGAAGCCAGTGCCAGACAACCAGTGTGGAGCTTGAAATAAAGCTATAACTGGGGAGAAGTGTCCAGGCGGAGAGAGAGGTATCCATGGTAGAGTCCATCCATAAGCGAGGCTGGGCAGCCTCCCCGTCTTGGGAGACGGCCAATGTCCAGGGTGATAAAATCCATGTGGTTCATCCAAAGGTAATTAAGTCCGGCAAAAAAAATAAATCCAGGGTCGAGTAAAATATCCAGTGGAAGTTCAAGTTGTTGCTTGTCTCGGAATTGCTCATGGTCGGGCAATACTCACCGTGGTGAGAAGTGATATCAAATTTCTTTTGTGACCGGTCTGGTGCGACGGCAAGAGGGGAAACCCTCTGCTCTACGGTCTCCTGTCTCCAGCGGGATGAAAATGCTCCTCTTGTGCAAGGGTCCTAGGGGAAAGTATCCTGGAATGAAAAAAAGTCCGGCAGAAATCCTGGATTGAAGTCCCTGGGTCGTTGTCCTGTGGTATCAAGGCCTCCTCGGCCGGAAAGATCTGGTTGGTAGACTCGAGAAGAAACAGCAAAACATGATGTGCTCAATACATGACTCGGGGGGAAAAAATGGACCACCCTGGGAACATAGAAAGAAAAGACAATACCTAGAAGGTGTGTGGACGTCGTCCAGGTCAATAGAATTGTAGCCAGGCATATCCGGGCGTGCAACAACAAGGGCAGTCATTGATTCCTTGGATTGTGTGTTCATGCAAGTCCAGGGCAAATTTGATCAACTCGGCTGAGTCGTGTCGTGGTAGAGACCAAGGAGAGGAGCAAACACAGCGGGATGACTTGTTTGCAACGTTCCTATGGAATGTGTCGAGTTTGGTGTCGAGTAGGATGATCCTTGGGTGTGGCAAGCTGTGAAGACCTTCTTTGAGCTTCTCAGTAGGGCTGATGGGGGAGAAAAAAAAAGAGGGCTGGCTGGGAGGGATGCTGGCGGGTAGAAGAATAGAAAAAGTCGGCGAGGGTTGGGTTGCCGGGATGATCAGCAATGCAGAAAGGCAGAAGAGTTGGGCAGGAATGTATCGTAGCTTGCGGGTTGGGCTGAGAGAAAAAGAAGAGAGTGAGACGTTGGGCAGGGAGAGGGGGGGTCAGCGGGTTTTAATGTTGCAGGACGAAGCGAAGCCTGGGCTTACCATTCCAAGGATACCAACGAACGAGATGAGGTCCGTCTGCGAAGGGGGGGAAAGGGAGGATGGCAGGTGGAGACTCCTACCACGTAGTCGTGCGTGGTCCCCTGCTCTGCTACTCTGCTAGCTGGCAGCAAACCCCTGCTCGGAAGCAATGGGCGTCCTTGGTTCTGCAGGACAGGGCGGCAATTGTGTGCGTGCCAGACCAGGGCTATCACAATCAATATTTGTTGTCGGCTTTCCGCTTCGTCCACCACTCATTTCGAGCCAGGCCACTCTCTCATTTCTCTGCGCCGTGCTGTGTTCAGCCGTTGACCAAAGCCCCCGGGCTCCCGGACTCCCTGGAGGGTCCTGTTCGAATGAATTCATTCAGGAGCCGTGGAAACAGGATATGCCGCGACGTCGTGTGTCGTCGTATGCGCCGTGCTATCGGCCGTCACAGAGGCCGCAGGTGCCAGGACTCGAACCTACATGGCGCTAGCCAGCTGGCCTCATTCTCCCTACGCAATTCATAGGCCCGTTTCGAGCGACGTTGTAAGTGACTGGTCCTTTTCCTTGATTTTCCTGACCTTTGAGTTGGGTCCCGGGTGGATGCAAACACGACGTCCCGGGCCTATCGCGGTGCGCAGAACCGGGTGGCCGTGGCAGCTGGAGGGATCATGGCTGCAGCGACAACACATCCGTGCAGACCATAAGAGCAACCCGGAAGACGCAGGCTCGAGGAATAGAAAGGGGGGGTGCTGTCCGGTTTGTTGACTCGCAGCCACCTCGTGCCTGCTATCCCCGAACCTTCATCTTGACCACCATCCGCACCATGCGTCGAAGCTGCTGCTCGTCCCGTCCCATCCCATCAAGAAATGTTGGCCTCGTTCCCAACAACGCCCCTGGTCCATCCCTTTCCCCCTTTCGCACAGACGTGAGAGTCTTCCTGTTCCAGTAGGCGTCTCGAGCATCATCGAAGTCATGGCGCGATCTTGAACAGATAATTTGATGCGCATGAATCAACATTCTTCGTGGCAGGATCGATGCTGCCGCCTCACTATCCCATCAACCCCAGCCCGACTTACGGGGAGGGGGGAAAGCACTGACAACAAGCGGGCCGGCTGGCACTCACTGTACTGTGTTTGTGTTGTATTATGTATCCGTACCGCAGCCGCCGAGCAGTAGGAACAGCGGAAGGGCGGGTTGTCAGCCGGCTCGTCCTGCACTCTCGTCTTCACCATCTCGTGTGTTTCCCTTCCACCTTGTCGGCGTATGCTTGATTGGTCTCGGGTGCCTCACGTGTTGATGAGGCATAGGCCGTGGTTGGCGAGCCGCAGTCGCTGACACAAAGCGGCCAACGTCTTCATGCGCAACTTTCCACCAACCAGCAGCTACTTTTTTTTCGTGTTCGATGTTGACTGGCCCGGGTCGCCGTCGCAGACCGGCCGGCCACACCCTTCGCGACAAACGAAAGGCGCTTCGCGAGGTGATTACCCGGGTCACCGCCGACTGGGCATGCTTCTGGCGGAATCGGTCCTCGCCAACCATTTGCAACGCCCGTCATGATAATGCATATGTATTGCATGAAGCAACATGCAGCGTATGCCCCGATGGTCGCTAGAACAACAACATCCAAGTCATCATGCCAGCTTGTCCAGTCCATCGTACCATGGAGCGCCGCGGCGGTTTGCTGTGTGTGTGTCTGTGTGTTTTTAATGCGATCACGCGCGTCTCATTCGATCGCTACCAATGGTTTCGTATCGCCCGCGTGTCGTCTGGCCAAAGGACCCTCGACTTCCGTCTGGTCAGAGGAGCAATCCGACCTCCAAACCGATCTAATTTTGACACCGAGGGTCTAACAATGGGGTGAAGTCGTCGGCCTTGACTTTCAGACCGGCATGAGGTTAAGACGCGGGGCACCAGTAGACTTTGGCAGTTGGCAGGAGGGCAGCTGACGTTGACACGAAAACACGGGATGCGGGATGAATGGAGAGTGTACTAATTAGGGTATGTAAGGACGTGAGACGATGCGCCCGTTTCTGCGCGCGGAGCCACACGCCCATTGTACAAGGGACAGAAGGGGCCTTGGCGTTATACAAATACGCAGACGACGGGCAGTCGAGATGAAGAACAACCTGCTTAAGAGGGGGCTCTTGCTTCGTCCGGTGCACTTTCCCGGATAAACTACCTACCTACCCAGGAGATTTGGTCACCATTCTGCTGCGCTAGAGGACTCCTCATTACGTACGGAGTAATACCTACCTACCTACGTAGTACCCGCGGTACCTACCTTAGGTACCTTGGTACCTACCTTAGGTACCTTGGTACCTACCTACCTAGGTAAGTTTAAGCCAGAGAAGGTTAGCTAGCTGCCTGCGCACATGACGACGCCGACAACGACGCCGACGACAACGAAGACGACGACCGGAGGAAGCCATGCCGTCTCGGCCACTTCCCTCAAACGGCCAGTCCAACGTTCCGTCTTCTTCGGAAGACATGTCTGCACGCTCAAGCCAACCCGCAGCCTCAAACCACCACATACCCTATCCGTCCATCTGCAATAGTCATAGCAACGCAGCGCTTCCCAAGAATTCCTGGAGAAACGCAACTCACTTCTCGCGGCCTCCAAACAGCCTTCATCCTCGCTCCCGCCAGTGCGCGTGATTGGAACAACACGTTGTAACCCTTTCCATCCCTCTAACGTTGGAAAGGTTGTAAGACCATCCGGGTCGACAGAGCCGTTCGGCTGCCCCCATCCCCCCCCCCGTCGAGCTGCTTCGTGGCACTGGCGGCGGATGCTGGTTCATTACTCGCCCATACCCTGTCGAGACTTCCACACCATCAACTCTCTGTCACGCTGGTTCCTTCGGCAGCCGGTAAGATGGCCCTCGAATCGCCGATCCCCCTTGAACACGACATGAGGTAATCCGCAAGGCATGGCGATCTTTATGCCGACTGACGTCCTCGCGTCGGCGTCTTGCGGAGATTGGCAATATTCGTTTATAAAAACAAAACAAAAACGCACGTATGTACAACAGCTCGTGTATTAATCGATTCATGCGCGTTAAGGAGAATTATGCCCAGCTCAGTGATCCTGCCCATCTTGTGCCAAAGCCCCCCATCCGGACAGCGGCTAGGCTTTGGCCGAGTACGCCTGCAGCCAGAAGCCCAGGGGAGCATAACTTCTCGCACAGCGCACATTCGAGTTGTTCGGGATCATGTACTGGTAGCCGCCCTGGTTGGGGCAATAGCAAAAGCCGTATACTGCAGGATTCTCGGTGGGCAAGCCGCTCGACTAATAGCCGCCGTAGTGGTCGCCTGCGTTCTGGCCAACGTTTCTACAGGTAGTTCCTCTCGCGCTGCACGTCGCTGTACACCCTGCCGTTGGCGGTGGCCGGTTCGGGTTAGTAGTAGTCGACGAGGGTCTTTTCCGGGCTGTCGGAGTTGCGTATCTGCCCGGCCTTGTCGACGACCGTCACGTACACGCTCCTGTCACCCGACCCTCGCAGGATGAAGGCCGTGTCGATGCAAGCCGGTATGCTGCTCGGGAGGCTCTGAGAGGGGGCGCACGACGCTGTGGCGGCCTCGTTGGTGGCCGACGAGGCCTGTCGGCCCTCCAGCTTCTCGCGCTTCGCCTTCCTGAGGTTAGGTTAGGAGTTGGCCAAGGTCGTCGTGAAGGACGTGACGATTGCCGTCTGCGTCACGGTCGATGCGCAAGGCCTCTCGGTGGTTTGCATCCATAAGGAACAGTCGGCCGACGCCACCGCCGGCCCGGGCTGGAAGCCGATGACAGCACGGAAGCAGTTGTCGCGGTTGCACACCACGGCCTGGCGGCCAAAGAGCTTGTCCATGGGTGGGAGGCAGCCACACCGGCGATGGTGCCGCCGACAAGGGCGCCAAAGAGCGAGGGCTTCATTTTTGAAAGAAAGAAAAAGGAGAAAATTCGATGAGACGAACAGATTTCTCGACCGGTCAGTGAGGTCTTTGAAGCTTCTTCGGTTGAGATGCAGTGTGTGATGAGCTTCAAGTCCAAATGCCCATGACAGCAAGCTGTTCTTGTAAGTGATCATCGTGACATCTCGACCTAAGCTCATGAAGCCATGCATCCGCCGAGCACATGCTGTATGGACTTGGACGCTGAACCTGGAGCTCCAGCATGCCGCCTCTCTCTCTCTCTCTCGCTGTCTCTCGCCAACATAGTCGATTCCTTTTTGAGAAACGCCTTCAAGGAAACCTTACTACGGGTGTAGCCGCCGCACAGAAGCCAACCGAACCGTTCTGGTGGCGGCTGGCGCCACCTTCGCTCCCCCTTTGGGCGAACAAGTCCAGTCGCGGATAGCGTGGGCGCCACGAGGGTTGCTAGGCCGACGCTATTGGTAGGTTGAACTCGCCCGGCAGTTTCGCGATCCAGATGAGCTTTTCTCTCGGTCTCCAGACTTGATGTTCTACGAGCGGTTTGCTGCGTTGGGAGTTCCGGCTGGTCAAGGGAGGTAGGTTTGTGGTCTTTCCGTCCAGGTCACATGAACCAACAACCTCTCTTTTCCGCGCCAGAGAAATGGCCGTCGTTCCCACACATGACGGGCTAGCCCGAGACTACTGTAATTGCGGCTGGCCGATGGTCTCTAATTCGTCTAGATGCTCGGGTTCGTCCCTATGGTTTGGTTTGGTGGGGTTTACCATGGTATCAGATCTCGGGTAGCTGCATACCTGCCATGGTCCACTTTTGTGCGTACCTAAACTTGACAGCAGTACGAGTCGCAGCACATTGCCGGCATGCTGCAACCCTGGTCCTCAAAGGGATATCCAAATCTCAAATGTTCCGGCCGTCTGACTCAACCCTAGTCACCATGGCTTTGATACCGAAACCATTACTCCTCCGTCTCGACTTTCTTCCCCAATTTTTTTATCCTCAACTCCTTTCCGGATCTTTGAGATCATGTTCCCCATCTTCCGTTATCCACAACAGTGCTGTGATAGATATCCTGCCATTGCTGCGTTGAAGAGTGCACGGCAATCAAGAGGTTCAGGACTTGTACCTTTCTTCCCCCTCGCCATCTCGCTGAGTTCCTCCTCAAGTAAAGTCGAGCACCCGGCCCTGGAATTCCCAACCCAACGCTGCATCCTCCCAAATATCATGCAGTCTCCCCTCGGCGTCTGAACCGTCAGTCCAAGCGACCTCCGCGAGGACTGCTTTTGCCGCTTGCCAACTGTCAAGCTGCATCACACTGCTCGCCAAAACCAGCTTCGACGCGTACACTGCCCTCCACTTTGCGAGCTGCTCCCTTCCCGTTGCAGTGATGGGTCTGCCCGTGCTAGCCACGGCAGCACCAAACAGGACACTCCAGAACCAGAGACTCCGGCTGAATGTGCCGGCAATCATCTCCTCCTCCTTGTTGCAGACATCATCAACGAGCTGCTCCAGCAGCCACACCGTCAAGACACAGTCCATCTCGTTATCGTTGACTGCCATGACGAGGTAGAAGAACGTGGCGATGTAACTCGCCCTGCTGCTTTTTGCGTCGCCGTTCAGCATTGTCGCTATGTTGCGTTCGGGGTCGAATCCCCGTGAGAGCTCCCAGTTGAGGTTCTTTGTGTAATCCTGCCAAAGCCTGTCCGTGGGAGTCTCGTCCCCCTCCCACCAGCCGTATCTCGGTGCCTGTCGCGGTGGCAGGCTCTCCATGTCCCACAGTGACGTGAACAGCAAGGCGATGATGCTGGGCTGGAAGTCAGCACTGATGGCGTCGTGCATGACGCTGACCTCGCCTCGACGTAGACGATCGCCGGCCCTATACGAAACGTATCAGCATGTCTGGTCTCTTGCGCATCGCGGAAGAGGCATCTTACATCTCCAGCATCTGCTGCGCCAAGTTTGACCTCATCAAGTTGTAACCATTTTTCCTGAGCGTCAGTCTGTGAAGACCCCGCAAGTGCTTTGAAGAGGCGTCCAGATCGCCAACGGCACCCTTTGCAAGCTTGGTCAACACAAACGTCAGGACCAGCTGCTGATGGCAACGTACCTCGGTGAGCGCCAGTGTGGCTATAGCGAAAATGCTTGTGTCACTAACGCTTTCAGCAGACTCGGAGAGCTGATGCTTTGCAAACTCGTATGCCGCTGTCTTGTGGTAGAGAAAGGGTACTTTGACATGTTCAAGTGAACCAGTCACCCATGCCCACTGACAGGCCGCAACAACCAGACACCCGTGGAGAAGGCCCGGATGTAGCAGCGTCCTTTGGACACTTCTGCGTGTCAGCCTCGCTGGGTACGATGGGGCGGGGCGATCAACAACATACCTGCACAAGTTTTGACCCCTCTCTACTGGGGTCTGCCCCCTAACGTAGAAGGTAGAGACTGTGCACCGCATCAGTTTGGTCCCTTCTCGAGATCGCGTTCGCGCTGCTCACACTGGTGCCACAGCCACTGCGACATGGACGACATCTGGTAGTCGGACGAAAACCCGGCGAACGGCTGATGTGACACGGCATTAAAAAGAGGAGCCGTTCCCTCGGATACAGTGGATTCGGACGGGGCCCGGGACTCGTGCTTGGGTTCTGGTTCTGGGTAGATGCAATCCTTGCCAGTCTGCAAGCAGTTTGTACTGCAAGAGGTGTTAGCCACTAAGCTGTGACGGAACGGGGCCCATATTGGTTATAGCAGGACTCGTCCAAGATTGTCAATGGCAACGGCCGGAAGGGAGGTCTGTAGTGAGTAGGATAGAGGGATAGAAAAAGAATACAGAAAGACAAGAAAGTATAGCATAGAGTAAGGCTTACATACCACAGGGGCTTGCGCTCGTCACAACGCACATGACGCTGTTTACATGTCGTACAGCCATTCTTGCTCCGACGGTGGAACTTACGGACTCGGTTCTTGGGCGGCGCCATGGTCACTCGGCCTGCCGGCGCCTCGGCATCAATGGAGCTCCACGCGGTCACCGGTGTTCAAAGCGGCGCCGGGTGACCATGCTTGACGCGACAGCGGCTATGTTATCCAGGACGGGACTGGCCTTGTAGGTGCGCATTAGATCCCGGAACCGTCAGCCAAAGCATGCAGAGAACAGTCCTTCGGGGTATCGACTATGAGAGGGAAGGGAAGTAAGGCGCAGGCGGTTGGAAGATTGAAAAGAGGAGAGGAAAAAAAGATGTTGTCCATTTCCAATCGGGATGTTTGTGACGGATTCATAGATAGCGATGACGATGATTGGCGCAGGAGATCATGTGGGAGTTGCTACACGAGACATGCATGACGGATCGTCCAATGAGACAGCAAGAAGGTAAGTGGGTGGGTCCATAGACCGGCTGTTCGGACGGACTGGAGAACTGGAGCTTCCTTCGTCTCTGCCTTCGGCTCTCTCTCCCACCGTTTCTCCGACGAGAAGTGAGGGCAGGAGAAAGACCGAAAAGGGAAGGGACGATCAGAGGAAGCAGCAACACAGTAAAAGAAGGAGGGCGGCAAGCGTCAACCATGATCCGAACTTACCCTAACCAACCAACCAACCAACCAGCCTGCTTCACAGAACATCCCGACATTACTCGCTGGTGCTCTCGCCAACGAAGCAGGCGATTGATTGCAGGACCAATTCAACACATCCGAGTCATCCCTTTACTCGCACCGAGCATCAACCTTGCTCCAACTGGTTCGTTAGGCCACTAGACCCTTCTTACAGCAAAGCTTGGAGAGTGTTGTCCTTGTGACCGGCATCGAACGTTCGAAAATGCTTTCGTGGCCGGACGACCTTGGTCTGAGCCGTCATCCCGAGCCAGCTAGGATTGGCGCATATTCCGAAGATGCGAAGGCGCATTGACAACTCGGTGAAAGTGACCGGTCATGCTCCTCCGAATCGCCAGATCTAGAGTGGGACACACCGGATGTGATTTCGGCCTTTTCATGCGTATTTCCGCCATGCGCATCATCCCGGACTCATCAATGCCCGGAAACATGGAGATCCCAAGACTTTTGGCTCCTGCGTTTCGGCTAGCTTTCATCACTCTGCTCCGCTCCGGATAGACCTCGTCTCGATGAGGCATGCGAAACACAATAAACAGCAAAGCAACCCACCTTGGCTCAATGCACTGAGAGCCTGGAGCCCTACCTACCGACACATGCAGCCGCCTCTGCGTGCTTGAGCAGTCACGGGATGGAAGCATATCCCATCCACACCAAGGCGAACCGTGGAGAGGGGCGACTGAGGCTGTACAGTTGTCTGCGATGACAACGAGTAACAAGTGACGATCTCCATCTCAAATCGACAATATGATCGTCCCGCAGCACCCCCACGCTTGAGACAAGCTCACCAAGCGACGAAGTAGCCCCTTCTTCCTCCACCCATCGGTCTTGGATCAAATTTCTCTCCATTGACTACACCCTGAGATCGAGTAATCTCCCCACGCACATGATGCACAGATGTTATGGCGATCAATCCGACCACTCTACCTAGCTCGCCCTTGACGTCGGGGCATGGTCAAGTCCGATCAGTTGAGGTTCTCAAGAGAGTTCCCAGGATACTGGGGTTAACCGAGGCGCACGTCATCCCGCTGATTGGCGATGGACGTTGGAATGACTAGGTAGTCACCCGCAGCCAGCAAAACGACTACTGCCTGCGCGCCATTGGCCCTCACACCACTCAGGGCCTTGCCTCCCCAACCAAAATCATCTTCAAACCCCCATCAGCTTGTGCTCCGGTTAAAGGTTGACGGGCCCTGGTTCCCTGCCCCAGTTCAAATAAGTCACGCCCAGCTTCACGTCGCTGCGTCAAGGTCGGGTCAATGGATACTTTTGCGAATCATGGAGCTTCTTCCAGTCAGCAAATTGGGCCTCATTTTTCAAAAGGAAGGAGGAGCCAGCTGTCAGCACCGTGAGGCGTCCACGAATCTCACGACGGAGCACATTCCGTCGCCGCCCGGCATGATTGGCTGGCGCCGCTTCGTCCTCGCTGAAGACATCACTGTCAGGGAGCTTGCAAGGTAGGGGTTCTGATTCGATAATGCACAAAAGCAACTTCATCTGTCCAAGTGGGCATCAAGGCATGGTTGGGCACGTACATTTCGCACCTAGCGCGCGTCCCCTCATCGTATCGGCTGTTGGTATTTGCTTGTCCAATTCGTGCCCAACCCGGCGTGCTGTCACCGCTTCTTCCCCGCTAGGTACAACCCTGCACAAATCATCCCATCCGGTACCGAAGAGATACTCCGACTTTTCGGGCAACAATTGTCCTGCCCAGCGACAGAAAAGTTTCTGTCACAGCCCAATCGGTGCCCTATTCTACACAACTGGCTCCGTTGTCCGTCAAGAGTTGGCACGTCCAATGGCTTCTACACGTCAGCCTGTACGGACCAGCCAGCAGAGTTGTCTGTTCTGGGGTCTTCCCTGAGAGAGGGGCCAACTGTCAGAAAGAGAAAAAAAAGAAGAAGAAAAGAACAGCTAGCATCGCACGAAAATAGAGGAGACCGAAGGGCACCAGCCAGCCGAGGGCACGCTGATCTCTCTCATCACTCGCGTGTTGAGCCCACGATCCATGATACAAACTTGGCTCAGCAAAGCTAGGGATGGATGCCAACTGGTCTTGGGACACGCACCATTAACCAATCTATTCCAGAACGCCCGACAGACGAACCTTCTCGACTACGGCGCTTGGCAGTCACGTATCCTCCAGGCCATGCGGCAACCATCTGCTTGAAACCAGAGACGTCTCCGTAGTATCGGTCATTGGGGCGAATGCAAATCTTTACTCGAGTCTCGCCGGCCTGCGTCTTTCCTGGTCCCTGTCCTACCTGCCCTCCGCCTCGACTTCCCAACGGACCCCATCTTTCTGCCGTCTTGACCGGGATCAGCCATTTTCGCCGCCTCAGTGCAACGCCCCCCACGAAGACAGCCATCGCAAGCAGCAGACATAAATGCCTCCATTCCGAACTTAATCACCCACTGTCAGGATCCTGCCCGCTCCCCCATCCTCGTTCATCCTAGGAGCTTGTTGGTTTCTTCTTTTCCGTTTTGCGCCAGCAGAACCAGACATATCCCACTAACCCCCTAGGGTCTCCCACATCAAGCCATCCCCGACCATCTTATAAGTCAGTAAGGTGGCAGTCGTGGAGACGGGCTGTTTCTTGGACCGTTCTCCCCCAAACACCCACACCGCCCTTGCAACGACCCGAAGTTCTTCAAGGGTGACATCCTGGAACAAAGCCATTCTGTTATCGTGGATTCCCTTGTGTTTGAGCAGACGTCTTGCCGCATTGTACCAGGAATACTTGGCCGAAGATCATATTATCCCGAGGACTCTTTCCGGACACCCAGGGCTGACCTGCCCGCCTAAGGACTATTCTTATTTCACGTGGTTTCCGTCCCTGGACTCTTTGGAAACCCTCCAAAGCTCTGCTGCTTGACTTTTTTTTATTTTATTTTCTTTCTCTACCGTTATGCCCCCGGAAGAAATGGCCCAGCCGGACTTTGCCTACAGACCATCAACCATGTCCAACGGACCTTGGAACTCGACGCGGAGGTACGGTCCGCCCTTTTTGTTCATTTCCTGAAGCCCGAGGAGGGAAAACTGACCAACGAAAGAAGTTCAATGTACAATGATACATTCCCGCCCGCTGGAGGGTTTGACAACAACTATTATCGCTCATCAAGGTAAGAACCAGACGTCGAACTTTTTGCCATTTCTTCTGCCGCAAGGAGCAAGCGAGTAACACCGTTCCTTTCAAGCGTGTCCGCATACTCGCCCGGAGCCAGTAACTACAACTTGCCGATCGGAACAAATCCCCATGTTACCGCTGCCGCCGCCGCCGCCGCCGCCGTCGCCCCTGCGTACGGATCGCGCCCGGCTTCTGGCACATACGGCACCAGTGGTGCTGCTGCCTATGGCTCGTACAAGAGTACGAACTCCCAGGTGTGGGACCACCAGGAGAGATGCTCCCCAACGGACTCGGTCGACGACATTATTGCATCCCCAAACCTGTCTGACTACTCCCTCGAGAATGGAGCCGGCGCCACACCCCCGAGCAAGGGAAAAGTGAATGGGAAGGGTCGGCCCCAGCGTAGACCGTCTAACCGCGACGAATTCGACGGCCCGCATCAGTTTCTAGCCCGCCCGCCACCAGAATACATCGCCATGCAGGAGCGCGAACTACCTCACCTGCCCACAAACCTGCACGTGCAGGAGCAGGACCTGGTCCTTACCCAAGTAAACGACCGCCTCTCGCAATGCGCCTATGATTTTGTTGCGAAATACCAGTTTCCAATTCCCTTGACGCAAGATATGCGACCTGTAGAGAGGCCGCAGGACCGGGAATGGACGGAGTGGGTCTATCTCTTGAAGCGACTGGCAACGAAGCGCCGCATCCCGGCGCGGGTGCTTTACAACGGACAGATCAAGCAGTTTGTCACGATTCTCGAGAACTCTTTGGAGATGCGACATGCGGCCAAGCACCAGAGCCGACCATTGAAGGACGACCGCAATATTTTACAACTCATTTCGGCAGGCATCCAGGTGGCCAAGATCCTCAAGGACGCGAGCGCTATGGACTACCTCGACCGACTATACGTTTCTACGGAGAAGCAGATCCAAGACCGCGCGGCCACACGGTTCAGAAGCTAAACTGCTTCTATGCCTCTCACGTTACATACCCAGATCGAACCCCGACAACGAAGTGGCTCATACTCAGCCTCGACTATCGTCTCGGTGAACCGGGCTTATGATGATGAATCTTTACAGACCTTACGAACAAGAAAGTTATGGCAGATGGGCGGAATCCTTCTCGCTCTTTGAGAAGAGAGCACAAAGAAGACTGTAGATGACTATGATACGGACCTCGGGGGGAGTAACAGGACGACAGGATCCCCCCAAAAGGCACGACGCAGGGAGGGAGAAACACCACAGGCTAGCCTAGCTCAGCCCTCCGTCGCTCAGCAAGCGAGCTGCGTCTTGTTTTGTATTTTTGTACTAGCGGAGAGATGGTAATGCTGCCCAACCCGTTCGGACAGAAGAGGCCTCTTTGTTGCTATTCCGAATGATTTTGGTTCTTATTTTTCGCATATACCCTACTTCCCCTCCCACCCCCTTTTACGGATTGGTTTCGTAAGCAAAAAAAGGGAATGAGCATACAGGGAAGGAACGGGCGCTACGGGTTCCTCGGGAAAAGGGTGGAAATCGTCTTTGTACATCGTTGTTTGCCTTTTTTTTTTATTTTTATTTTTTTATCTTTTCTTTCCAATCGGCTTCGTTGATCCATCTCTTGCACTGCCATGGCGTGTTGAAGGAGGGGGGGAGGTGGCCCTAGAGTCGTTTCAAAGTGTCAAATCCTTTTTTATTGTTCTCTTCTCGACACGCTTCGTCTTACACTGTGGGAGAGCTATCGGCCGGCTGTTTGATATTGGTTTGTGCCATATCTGCGCGTCTGCGCTTGCTTGAGATTTGCGATTCTTTCCTGGGCGAGAGGGTAACTCGGGCATATTTTGAATATAGTTCACGCCCACTTCTCTATTCGAAATAGGTTCTGGGAGGCTATAGATGAATCTTCAGCAGTTTGATGTCAGTGGCAGGCCCTATTATGCCGGGCTCATTCCCTAGCACCAAAGAATTCTATGTAGTATCTCATTCGCTCGTAGGTGGAGATCCGGTCCTTTGGTGAACGTCACGACTTTGAAAAGAGGCCCTGCTCAATGCACACTGGTGGCTCGCCCTCTGGCGCTAGGGAGTCTACTTCCGCACACGTGGTCTGGGATTCCAAAAGACCCCAGTTGCTTTGCACTCTGGCACCGCATCTCGGTTCATCAGGGAGTGGCAAGAACCAGTGCTGCCCCCTCGCCCAACGGCGCTTAGATTGGGCTGAAACGAACGGTGATCATCGGCCGACATGTGTCCTGCTTGCGTGCCTGACGGGGTGACTTGGGCTGGAGCAGTGTCAAGGGTGACAATGATCGACTTGGGGAGGGGGAGTGGTTCTCTCGACTACGCCAAGGACGGGGAACGAGCGCCGTAGGTGGCCTGGTGCGAACTGTGAGGGAGGGGATGGGAGGCCGTGATGTCGCATTCCGCTGGATGGGTCCCCCGGGGAAGGGAGGGTAAGAGATTGGGGTACAAATGGCGAGCACCGGGGGAGAGCAAGAGGGAGGGAGGGAGAGAGACACGCAGTAGATGCGATATGCGGCCGTCGCAGTATGCCGCCCCGAGAACTTACGTCAAAGACAGGGCAAGGAGTAGGTGATGGAACGATATATTAACTCGGAAATGCGGTTTTCCTTCCTGGAGATGGCCAGTACTGACCATATTCACACGAGGTGGGCAAGGGTACTTTTGATGGGGATGGTATGGGTGGTGCCGAAGAAGTCCAAGCCGACGGGCGAGGGCTACCGCAGGCCCGCCGCCTTGCTACTTCATTCTTCAGTTCTGCCGCCTACACGCAGACGGCGGCGATGATGACGCTTTTTTTTTTTTTTTTTTTTTTTTTTTGCAGAAAGCAGGTTCCCGAGCCTTATTCGAAATGCAGGTGAGGTTTGTTCCGGCTGGAGGCGACAGTGACTGGGAACCGGGTTTGCAAGGGAAGTGGGATTCTGGCCGAGCGTTCGAGACCGATGGAATGAGGTTTCGAATACTGGCTGACGATATATTGAATAAGCAAAAGCGTGTGGCAGGCAGGGTTGGGTGGGCTATGTAGATGGTGTGTGGTCATGGCTCACCTGGTATGGCTGTCCCAACGCCGGTGGTAGGTAGACCCAAGGAGAGAGAGAGAGAGAGAGAGAGAGATCGGGCAAAGAAATTCGGGGCAGGAGTTCACCCGGATGTGGCGCTCACTGGGCTAACCTTGACAAAGTTGGTACGTTCCATTTTGGTGTGTAGTGAGGGTGTTGTGCCAAGCAAGATAGTTCGGGCTCGGAACTCTGCGTTGTTGATTTGACGTTTGGGAGCTAGTTTCGTGTTGAGTTGGGTCACTGAGATAGGTGGCAGCGTTCGGCATTTAAGTTGGCCTGTTGCTTCTGGATAGTCTGCCGGTGATCTCATACGACTTGAAACGTTGTTCCGAGCCGCTGCCGGCGTGCAGTGTTTGCCGGAGGGGCTTCGCGGCGGAGACGGAGCCAGAAGACTGGCGAGCACGGTAGGATGCCAACAGGAGCGGAGCGGGTGTGCCATCTCGCGCGGCAGCTTTTGCCTAAGCGGGAGCGGCGGCCGGCGTGGTCGTCATTGAGCTTCGACGCCGAACGAGGTTCGCTGTGTGGGCTGTGCTGTGCTGGATATAACACGTATTGCTAGGCGTGGGGAGTGTGTCTCGTGCGTACAAGTCCTACTCAAGCGCTGCGCGCGTGCTAAACCTTATATTGACGGGGGATGCCACGCGTCACTCCGGCCGCAAGAGGAGCCGAGTAGGTAGGTTAGGTTTGTTGTACAGTAACGTTGTACTTGAAGGCACTGGAATGAAGAGGTTTTCCTCGAAGAGTTTGACGGCAGACTCTGTCGATGTCGCACTTGCCGCCTAGGTATCGAGGCTGGAAACTAGGCAGGGTAGTTCTTCTAGAGACGTGCTCGTGGAAGGTTCACGATGGGATGCGGTGTTGAGGGCACGGGGTGTGGATGGTTTGGTTTGAGTCAAGGTCTGATGAGGGCTTGAGGGTTGCGAATGCAATGACCCTGATTTCGACGGGGAGCGGAATGTCAACCTGGTTGATGTTGGACAGTCGTCGATGGGAGAAAGCTATCTGGGGGTCGGGCCGATTCGTTGATGCACGCGCATCCGTCGATCTCTGGGATACCGGTAGTCGTCAGAATTTACAAGCCAAACTATCTTTTGGAATGCAAAAGGGGGTTGATAAGCCAAGGTTGGAGTCAGGTCTCAGTTCCATCGATCAACACTAGGTTGGCTGCAGTTCGTCGAAGAAGGAAGCAGGGAGCGCGACCCGGATCGGCTCGTTAAGGAGGGGACACCGGATCCTTCTTGTCTCCATGCCGAACCGACAGGACATTTGAGAGGTCTTGCCCTCCTCGCCACTGAACCACGTGCGTTCGCAGGCACCGAAGGAGCTTCGGTCACCCGGTGTGGGAGACCGCCGAGACCCGGTAAACGGCCGGTGATGCATCGGGCTAGCGAGGCCGGTGACCAATCAACGTAGAGCACTGGAGCCCGCCCTCGGTCCCAGAAAGGGTTTAGCGAGCTGAGGTTGGGAGTTCGGAGGGAAGCGGAGACTGTTGTATTTTTGGTCCAGCCATAGTACAGCAGCTGCAGTTCTAAAAGGACTGCGCATATGGATGGATGGATGTGCAGCGGCGCTGGCATGGGGGTGACACGGCCGTCCACTCGTATTCATCCTGCTGGCCGCCCTTTTTCGTGCCCGTCTCCCATCGTTCCCGCTCTCCTGCATGCCTTTCCCGAGCGGTAAAGAAGACAGGGCAAAAACGGACTGTCAAATTGACGACTTCCAAGTTCCCGCTCAAGTCCGCCCCTGGAGCACTTTGGTGATTGATTCCCTGTTTTCTTTTCGTTTTTGAGTATTGAACGACGATTATAACGAACACGACGACGACCACGACGACGGCGACGACAGAAACGACACGGACACACCTAGCGTTGGCTTGGCCCAACGAAGTCACCCCCGCGCGCCAGTATCTGGAATTCGTCAGCATACACAGTCCTCTCTCCCTTCCGCCAGCAGGCCATCCGACGTCACAGGGAAAACAGGTTCGCTTCGATTTTTGACGAACAAAGGTGTTCGTAGCTCTCATCAACTCGGATCAAACGGCCGCTTTCAGAGCTTCTGGTGCCTTTCCGACTCAACGGCGAGGCGCTTCCAGCTACGATTCGTACGTCGCCCGAAGCAAACGTAAAGAACAAACAGCCGACACCAACTCACGCACCGCCGTCCGTGATGGCGTCCGTTTCCTCGAGGGGCCCGACGCCTCACTCCCCTTACGACGTCCAGTCCGCCGCCGACACGGACGAGTCGTGGCAATATCTGGACTATGCCTCGTACCCGGCCTCGGTCGGGTTCCTGCCTAGCCCGGCCAGCACAAGCTTAAACGGCTATGCCGTTGTCGGGCACCACGTCAGCTCAGACCCGGTGGGCCTGTCCCCGCTGAACCTCGATCTCGACCCCGACCAGTCCGCTTTCCCCGCCGCGGGCTTCCCGGACCAGCCCGAAGCTTTTGCCGCCCCAGCCCCGTCCGCCAATGGCCAGTCCGTTGCCTCCGGCCAGGAGTCGGACTTTTTGACGCCGCAAGGCTATCTCTTCTCGGAAGAGCACCTCGATCTGAATGGTGAGCTTAGTCCTCGAATTTCGACTAATTTGTTTTCGCCGCCCAACTAACTGGTTGCTTCTTAGATTTGACATCCTTCGTCAACTCATTCCAGACGAGCGGGCTCCCGACGGGGCTGGAGACAGCTCCCCAACACCAGCAGGACGGCATCGACCTCTCACAAATCTTACCACCTAATGCGAATCCGGGCCCATGGAGTCCGACGAACCTCAAGGTCGACAATGGAAGCTCCGTGCTCTTTATGGAGGACCTCTCCTCCTCATCGCAAGGCTCCGCAACAACGAGCCCACCTCACTCGAATCCGACCTCGCCTGATATCAAGCACGAGGCTGACAAGGCCACCGTATCCAGCCCCATCCGCAAGGTCATAGCCGGCAAGGTAGAGAAGAAGACGGCCGAGGCGGCGAGCAAGTTCGTCATCGTCACACCTCACTCCATCAACGCCCACTCGGGCCGGCCCAACCCGTTCGAGTGCTTCGAGGCCTTGAAGCCCCAGTCGCGCGGGCGCAAGGGCCCGCTGGCCAACGCCACCAAGGAGAGCGCCCTGAAGGTCCGCCGCCTGGGCGCATGCTTCTGCTGCCACAGCCGCAAGGTCAAGTGCGACTCGCAGAGGCCGTGCAATAACTGCAAAAAGCTCGCGGTCCAGGTGCCGCAAGTCTTGTGCTGGCAGTTCGCCGACTTCCTCACCGTCCTGTTCCCCGACTTCATGCGGAGCCACTTCCGGAAAGACCAGATGTCCCGCTTCATGACGGAGAACGTCGACCTCGACGCGGTGGAGCTGGCGCCCCGCGAGATCGAGCTCTTCTCGGGCCTGTCGGCGACGCTGAAAATCAAGGCCAGATTCTTCAAGCCCCGGACCGCCGACGTGCAGCAACATTACCATCTGCACGTGCAAAGAGACAGGGTGGACCTCCAAGCCAGAGGCACGGCCCCGATGGTGTTGGAGCTCGACTCGGTGTCTCAAAGAGAGGCTCTGAGGAAGAAGGTGAAGGAGTATCTCGCCGAAATCGCTGCTGAGCCCAAGTACGCGAAGTCGGTGACGGAGTCAATACGGCACACGGAGCTGCCGAGGAAAGTGTTGGACATTGTACATCAATATGCCAGCAAGTCTGATGTAACATATCCCCTACCCATCCTGGCGCGTCCGCTTGCTAACCCTGTCCAGTCTACAATGGTCAAGAAAGCCCTAGCGATATACGGCGCCCACTTCGTCATGACCCGGCACCTCTGCATCACCCGGTCAAGCGTCGTCAGCTTGCAAGACTCGGGTCTCGTGCCACAGGAAGTGCCGTGGGTGACACCGCGCGTCCTCAACCGGCAGATCAAGGCGGTGATTGACGAGCTCTTGATGAAGGACATGCAGCGCCTCTTCGACTCCTTTTCCAAGTCGCTCAAGCCCAAGTCGCGGGCGGAGTGGGCGCCGTGCATGGCGTCGTTCCTCGTGCTCTGCCTGTTCATGGAGTCACTCGAGACGGCCGCCGACACGTTTGTTGTGGCGCTCAAAGAGATCAGCCTGCGCAACCACACGCCGCCCGAGTACAAGCGCCAGGACGCCCTCAACATCAATCGGGAGGTCGAGAACATGCCATTTAAGCAGTTTGCGTACCAGTTCCATCATATCTATCAGACGCACAGCCGTGACGCATCAACGAAGCCGTTTAATCCCATGCTGGACAACTCGTGGGCCGAGCAGGGCGATCTGGACGGGCCGGCGATGGAGATGGTCATGAGGCTGAAAGAGTTGATCCAAGGCGACGATAACTGTAAGCCTTTTCAAGACCCACCCAGCGGTCAAATCGTTGTTATTGACGTCGTATTTGCAGACACCGAGTTGGACATCTTGGCGATGGATCCCATTCTTCCCAGCAACGGCGAACAGCACCCGTTCCCCCGCGACGTTTCGGTCAATTACACCGGTCGACTGGTGTCCAGGTTTTTGCTGTCATTCCTGGACGAGAAGTACATATTTGGCGAGAACACACTTTGACGAAGTTGATGATACGGCATGCGAGTATTTTTTTTAATGAGTTGAGGTTTCGAAACGCGCCGTCAAATACCCTTGGGATTGTATCGGGCAGTCAACGACCCATAATCACGAATGGGATGAATGACACTAGCATAACAGAAGATATTCAAAATACGCGCACAAGGGAACATACCAGCCGCAACTCGAGCGAGAGCGACGTGATATGTTTGTCCGATTTTAGTCCTGGAGCCACACATGTTCTCAATGGCATCAGGGTGGAGCGGACCGGTTGTCTAGACCGTTGGTTTTGTTCTCCCACTCGAACGATATAAAAAGTAGTTGACACTCTTGCGCACTGAGATCGCGAGGTGTAGGTAAATCGTGGGGTTTAGTCAGTTGTGACCGATGTTGATGACGACAAGACTCTCCGGTTCTTCGCGTGTATCCGCCGCTGTTGGCATCGGCACTTGCGCAATGTTCACATCGACGGCGGATTGCTTCAGATTCGGCGTGAGCTCTGTCTCGCGATGTTACGAGACAAGTCTGACGCCAGTAGACTGAAAAGGACCATGCATAGGGATCCAGACCCCCGATGGGGAGGGAGTAAGGGGTTGCGAGCGAAGTCCGCATTGGAGTGTCGATGAAGGACGGAGGATGAGGATGAAGAGGGGAGGAGCGCGAAAATATACTTTCCCGAGAAAAACAGGTCGGTTGGGAATGTGGAGACGGTCCTTCCTCAATCACGGGTTGACGAGGTGCTAGCCCTGATTGGTGCAAACGCGCTTAGGCAGCTGCTTACTAAGTAGGGCACTGGAAGGCAACGACATCTCTCCTAAACTACTTAGGCCGCGGACCACGCTCCGCCCGTTCCTTGTTTTCCCTTCTTCTTCCTTACACACTTTGCACCAAAATAATCAAC